GAGCGGGGGAAATGTCAGATCTATGCTTACGGTACTCATTTCACGAACAAATTTTTAAGAATCCACCGAATTCACATCAGATGTATACCTGAGCTGCGACGAGGCCGCTGATATGCGCCATGTCACAAAGCAGCATCGCCCCGCACTTATCAGCCACGGCACGGAACCTAGCATAATCCCAATCCCTCGGATACGCGCTCCCCCCACAAATGATGAGCTTGGGCCTAAAATCCATCGCCTTCTCCTCCAACTTATCGTAGTCGATATACCCAGTCTCGTAGCTAACCTTATACGGCAAGCTCTCAAAATAGATGGACGTCGCGGAGATCTTCTTACCACCAGAGGTGTAGTAACCATGGGTGAGGTGACCGCCAGAGGGGAGATCAAGCCCCATGATCCGATCGTGGGGGTTGAGGACGGCCGTGTAAGCGGCGAAGTTGGCGGGGCTTGCGGCGAGTAAGGTGGACGTTTGACGCCCGGGAAGCTGGCGGGTCGCAGGCGGAAGACTTGGAGGGCGCGACGCGGCACAGGGTTCTCGATCTCGTCGATGAATCGTTGCCGCGTAGTACGGTTGCCCGGGGCATTCCTTGCGGCGAAGTAGTTTGTTGGTGAGGGCCGGCTGGTCCGAGGGCCTCGATGACCGGCGGAAGGACGTTGAAGTTTGCTCGGACGAGGCTGATCAGCTCGGATGCGCGGCGGGACTGGCGGGTTCTCTTCTCGATGGGACGTGATCTCGAGTCCAATGGTCTCGAGAGGAGTGAGGCCCCATGATGATACGGGCTCCATTGCTGGTGGAGGAGGCGAGAGACTGGATCTGAGGATTGATGGTAGGTGTGGGGATTGAGAGGGGAGCGGGTGAGCAGGGATTTATACGTGGAGGATGAGCTTTATATCAGGGCCCCTCACCCACACCCACCAACCCACCACACGACTTGGCAAAAAGTTAGGTGAGGGATTGGGATCTCCCCGCTGACAAAAAGTTTACGGCGCACGCATCCAACGAATTTCAGCGCAACTTACGGGGTGGTAGGGGCCAGCTTATTTTTGGAAAAATTTGTAAAATAGACCTATTTTGTTAAATATTTAGCAAAACAGACCGTTTTGCTAAATATTTAGCAAACCAAAAAAATATCGGTTTTGCTAAACAAACCATTCGAAACATACGGGACTAGTACTCCCGTATGATTTAACCCTCCATTAAATCACACGCCGTATGATTTAATCCCCCATTAAATCATACGGGACTACTAGTCTCGTATGTTTCAAATGGTCTGTTTAGTAAAATCGATCTCCCCATTAAATCATACGGAACTACTAGCCCCGTATGTTTCGAATGGTCTGTTTAGCAAAATCGACCTCTTTTTGGCATGTTGGCAAAAAAGATGCCTATTTTGCTAAATATTTAGCAAAACGGTCTGTTGTGCTAAATATTTAGTAAAATAGGTCTATTTTGCAAATTTCTTCCTTATTTTTTCGTCAAAACTACCTCCTAAGCTCACTTGAAAAAGCTAGGCTTGACTAAGTAAATTACTATTCTACTCAAACAATTTTTATAGCATTTTTATCAAAATAGCCAAAAGCCACTAAAAGGCAGCATAACTTATTAATGTTCAAAACATAAGTCTTCCCAAACACCCTCATAATTTGCTACTATTTGATGAGCTGTTATGATTCATTCTAAAAATTAATTAGTATCGTGCCTCTCATACATCTCACGGATCCGGATTCTCTACTCATGAATAGGGTTTCCTAATGTTTTCTAATAGATCTATCCCCTCCATCACCCTCCATCCCTTCTAATGAGCCCCACATGTAAAATGAAAGGCCAAGATTGAGTATTAGCAAATATTAGAACACTATTCATGAGTAGATGATCCCAAATCACATCTCACCCTTATGAGAAGGCCAACACATAATGCGGATCCTCTTCAACTAGGTATTGGAGGGTATTCAATTGCCCAAGTTATAAACACCTATTCTTATTTTAAGGGCTAAGATATAGTCACATAGGGACAACTTAGTAATTTAGGGACGGCTTAGTAGGTCACATATAAAAAATAATATTGTCTTGAAAACCACTAATGAAAACCCTTTTTTTGAATGGTGAAAATACTGTGCTCTTGAAATTCGAATAAACAGCTATAATTTCATCAATTGGATACTCTCTAATTACTATATAATTTGAGAGCATCTGAATCAATTGGCTATAGTATGGTTGACAGCCTACTTATTTTTACTTATACGGTCCTTTTCACTTATTACAGGTAATAAGGTTTCATGTTTGGTTAGCATTTACTTATTCTTTGACTTATAAATATGAAAAAGATAAGTTGGGATTTCCCAACTTTTGTTTGTAACTTGTAAGTTGTTTTACTTATTTTGTTAAAAGAGTGTACTACCGTCCAAATACATCTTATCGTTCATCAATTGTTCACTTCACAAATACTTATCAATAGTTCACTTTTCAAATACTCATCAATTATAATAAAATATTTTCTTATTTATAAAATAATTAATTTATATTTATTTATTAGTTAATATCTGTTACTAAATATATACTCTAAAGCAAAATATTTAGAGTTTAACCTTCTCATATATAGCTTGCCGCGTAAGCTCCTCTCTTCTCAAAATTTGTGTACTAATCTAAATCATCCATTTTAATCTTTCTCTTCATCTTAATATATATTGAATCTTAATCTTAATAATATATACTGAATCTTAATAATACATACCGAATCTTAATATACGGAAGTTATATTTAACTAACATCTTTAAGTATAAAGAAATCATAATATATCTTTAAATATACTTTCTGGAAAATTTAAATGCATGGAAATCATAATATATCTTTAAGTATCCTTTCTAAAATCATTATCTTTAAATAAATCTTAATATATCTTTAAACATCCTTTCTGAAATTTTTAACTTTACATATACGAAAATTAACTACTGAAATATCTTACTACATCTTTAGATATATTAAAAATATCATCTTTATATATGAAAAATATTACTAATTTTAAATAGAAAAAATTAAGTAATATTTTATAAACCAAAATACTTAACGATATTCTTTCTGAAATTATTATCTTTAAATGTATGGAAATTAACTATCAAAGTGTATTATTGCATCTTATATGGAGAATATTAGCAAATCTTACAAAAAAAATAAAATATTTTGGTAAGAAGATTTCTTTATAACTAGGGTTTTCTGAAAGCCATGCTTGATTATTGTTCTACTATCCAGAGGTAACATTCAATAAAACCAATAATTTCCTAATTCAAATTAGCTTTAAAACCACTTCTAATGGTCTGTTATTCTAATGTTCTATTATTCATGCTATTTGTGAAATACCAAGATAAAGAATTTGGATTTTGAAAATGGTTTCAATTACTTGTAAAGGTTTATTTTTTCCTCAATTTTTCTCGTTGTATTTTTATTTTTTGTCATGGATTTTGACTTAAGTCTTAACATTTCCTAGAGATCAGATTTTTTACTTCCTGATTGATGAAAATCATTTGCTTTCCTAATCATTTTCTCTTAAACATTCTATTTTTCATTTGTTTCTTGCCTTCTGATATTTTTACAAGGCTCATGAGATCGCAGATTGCTTGTCCTTTGACAGACTTTTGCGGCATGAAGTGTATGTCGTATTGAGACAGCAGGAGTGCCCATCTTACCAGGCGCCAATTTAAGGACTCGGGCTGTGTCATGAAGACTCGGGTGGGATTCATTCGGGAGATGACTTGTATGGTTTGATCAATCAGGTAGTGTCATATTTTCTGAATTGCAAACACCAAAGCCAAACACTCCTTTTCAACCATAGGGTATCGGCGTTCGGCTCCCTGCAAGGTTCTACTTAGGTAATGGATGCCCTGCTCGTGGCCAACATCGTCATTCTGTGCTAACAGAGCGTCAAGAGAATGCTCCATCGCTCGCACATAAATTAGGAAGGGTTTCCCCAAGACCGGGTCGCTAAGACAAGTGGATTCGAAAGATAAGTCTTGATCTCATCGAATGCTTGTTGGCAAGGCTCATCCCATACAAAGAAAACACCTGTCTTCATTAGCTTGGAGAAGCGTTGGCACTTACCTGAAAGATTTGAGATGAATCTTCGGATGTAAGCCTGACGCCCTTGCAGTCCTCTTAATTCCTTGAGATTCCTAGGTGGTTGAAGCTCTTGAATAGCTTGCACCTTGTTGGGGTCTATGTGAATTCCCTTCGTCGTGACGAAGAATCCGAGGAATTTGCCACTCGACATCCCTAAAAATAACTTCGTGGGGTTCATCTTGAGTTGATGGGATCACATCAGCTCGAACATCATTCTCAGGTCTTGAAAATGATTGTCTTTGTTGTGACTCTTTACAACCAAGTCATCTACGTAGCATTCGACTGTCTTTCGTAGATGATCCCAAAAAATTATGCTCATGGCGTGCTGATAGGTTGCGCTGACATTCTTAAGTCTGAAGGGCATAACTGTGTAACAATATACCCCTACCAGAGTTTTGAACGAAGTGTGCTTCTCGTCTTCAGGGCGCATCTTGATTTGATTATACCTTGAAAATATGTCCATGAAGGACATCCTTTCGAACCCACAAGTATTGTCGATGATGACGTCTGTGATGGGTAAAAGTAATTCGTCTTTTGAACATACAGCGTTGAGGTCCCTAAAGTCGATACAGTTACGGATCTTTTTGTTCTTCTTCAAGACTGGAATAATGTTAGCCACCTAATCGGGGTGTTATTCCTCTTTGATGAAGCATGACTCGATCAGCTTCTTCACTTCGGCTTCGATCGCCTCCATGATTTATGGGCGAAACCGTCTTTGCTATTGTTTGACAGGTTTAGCGTCTGAGTTGATGTTGAGGCGATTCATGGCGATCTTGGGATCAAGGCCAGTCATGTCCTCATAATTCTAGGCGAAGACGTCAATATATTCTCGAATAAAGGATATATGGTCTTCTTTCTCCTGGGGAGGTAAGTCGCTGAAAAATATGTGCTTAGGATTAGCCTCGTCTCCCATATTTATTTGGAGTATCTTGTCCTTCGTGGGTGGTTCACGTTGTTCAAACTGACCACTCCATTGGGTGCTGACGGGTGGTCCCATGCTTCATCATAAAGTGGGATATGGTCATCCTCTTTGCTTTCGGTGGGATCGACTGTAGCCATGTTGACTATAAGGTTCCTGAATAGATCTCCCACACTAACATCCCAATCCCGCATCGGGAATGTTGATGATGATTCTCCGGAAGGACCATCTTCGGAATCTTCACCGAAATAGCAATATAACTCTGATGAAGAGCGAGTATAAACTAACCCTCTTCAAGTTTTACCAAAGTAATTGTCGGGCTTCCCTTTGAGAACATAAGCAGGTCAGATGAGTATCTTTCGCCCTTTGCCATAATTCAAGCCTTCCTAGCGGGTGAAGTCATAACCCATGCTCACCATCATATGCTTCGCGATTTGATCGTAGTGCAAGAATTGAGGAGTGGGCTCATCATCGTCTGACTCATCCCACATTGTGCACATAGGTCGGTCTATCATTCCAAAGATAATATCTTTCTGATAATTACCTCGGGCGGGTACGACGAAGATGGCTTGCGAGGGCTCGATCGTTTGTTTGTCGGTGACGAACGACGAGAACACAAGCAAATGCAAAAAAGAGTTGTTATATAACTTTGCAACCAAATTGCTAAACTCATCATTAGTAGACTTTGAACGAGATGACAAGTAATCAAAGTCAGGATCTTCATTCTGAATGAACCCGTCTGCTTCATCAATGGGTTTAATGTCATTCAAGATAGAACCCTCATTGCACTCAGACTCACTATCGGCCTCATTGCCACTGCCAGGTTCCTTGACTGGTG